CAGGGAGTCTGCTTCTCCCTCTGACCCTCCTCCCTCTCATGCTCTCTGTCTCTCATTCTCTCTCTCGCAAATAAATCTTAAAAAATAAAAAAATAAAATAAAATAAAAATAAAAGTAGTTGCTAAAGTTAGATTTCTAAGTTATCTGAAAAAAATTTTAAGTGCATTTGTGGACCACAATCAACCATGAAGTTATTAAAAAGCAACTGTGACAGTGTGTGGCCTGGGGTTCTTTTGGAATGATGCTCTATCAAGTACCCACTGAGGTTTGTAGGAACAAATACATCTTACATTAAGATCACTTCCAGGGGCACCTGGGTGGCTCAGTCAGTTAAGCAGCTGACTCTTGATTTCAGCTCAGGTCATGATCTCAGGGTTCCTGGGATCAAGCCCCACATTGCGATTACTTAAAATTTTAAGGGGAAAAAAAATCACTTCCATCCACATGCTGTAATTGTTTACTCTTTCAAGTTTATTAGAAATCAGAGTTCTCAGATTTCATGAGGAATATTTACATTCTGAAAGGAATTTCGACTCCTGTTCTACCATGCTGAGTACAGAAACTGGTTACTTTTTAACTAAAAATTTTTAGAAAATGCTACAAGCTGTCCACAAGAATACTACCCTATCCCTTTATATTAACCCATATGTCATGGCAGTGGTATATATCCTCAAGTTTCCAGGAAAGAAAGTTTATGCTTCTGACACTCTAAGTAACAGCACCACCAATTAGCAATTGGATGGTGGAACTAGTGGGTAAGGAGGAGGCTTAAACCATATAAAATTTAACAAGAATGGGTAAGAAGAAAGCCTATGATCCAGGTTCCAAAATAAGTCAACCACCCTGGGAAGGAATCTAGCCTGACAGTATTTATGAGGAACTAACCTAAGTGTGAAGACATGCTGTTAGAGGGGTCTTTGGAGAGCTCAAAGCTAGGTCTGCTTTCTGGCTCTGTCACTTCCCGTGTGTCCTTGAGCAAGAGAATTCCTTAACCTCTGATGTCATTTCCTTGCTTATAAAACAAGGATAGCTGTTACATACTCACAGGGCTGTGGTAGGATTAGATGAGATCCTGCACAAAAGCATGAGGTATGGTGTCCGGCATCACAAGCACTCAGTAATGGTGGCTATTATTAGCTGATCCCAAGCCCAAGCCCACAGTGTGACAAGACTGGTGACAAATTAATGACACCTTAGCCTGTATTCAAAGTGTGCAGATCAAGACTGTAGCCTATTTTTTTTTAATCTTTTGATTGCATTAACATTCAATACTTACACCCTCAGCAATACTGATGTAATTGGTCTGGGGTGAGAACGCAGCATGGAATTTTCAAAGCTCCCAGGTACAAAGTTTGAGAACCACTGCACTACACCGTACTATCTGAAGGCACCCAGGAAGCCACATTACAAACGACTGTTGACTTAGCTACTAACACAACACAGCATACTTAATTGGATCCTGGATTTGGGGTGGGGGGTGCTGCAAGTCATTTTGGGGGTAACTGGGTAAATTTTAATATGGACTGAATTAGGTATCAATGGACACCTGGGTGGCACAGTCCATTAAGCATCCAACTCTGGTTTCAGCTCAGGTCATGATCTCAGGAATGTGAGATCAAGCTCCACATCGGGCTCCACGCTCAGTGTGGAGTCTGCTTAAAACTCTCTGCCTGGGGCGCCTGGGTGGCTCAGTCGGTTGAGCGGCTGCCTTCGGCTCGGGTCCATGATCCCAGGGTCCTGGGATCGAGCCCCGCGTCGGGCTCCCTGCTCGGTGGAGAGTCTGCTTCTCCCTCTCCCTCTGCCTGCCTCTCTGCCTCCTTGTGCTCTCTGTCAAATAAATAAAATCTTAAAAAAAAAAAAAAAAAACTCTGCCTCTGCCCCTCCCACTCATACTCTCTAAAAAACAATTCGTTAAAAACAAAGAATATTAGATACTATGTTATTTATGTGCTACTAGTTAGTATGGTTACAAGAACATCGTTATTGTAAAAAAGCATACCCGTGTTTAGGGGTGAAATATTGTGGTTTGCAACTTATTTTCAAAAGGTCACGAAAACTACTCAGGCTACCATAACAAAATACCATAGACTGGGTAGTTTAAACAACACAACTTTATTTCTTACAGTTTGGGAGGCTAAAAGGCTAAGATCAAGATGCTGCCCAATTCTGTTCCTGGTGAGAACACTCTCCTGGCTTGCCAACAGCTTCCCTGCGTCCTCACAATGGTGGAGAGGGAGAACAAGCAAACCTCTGGTGTCTCTTCTTATAAAGGGATTAATCCCATCATGGAGGGTTCCACCCTCACCACCTCATCTAAATCTCATCACCCAAAGGCCCCATCTCCAACCCTATCACACTGGGCATTAGGGAGACACAGTTCAGTCCACAGCAAAGTGTATATATAAAGACAAAGCACACACCATAGCAAGTTAACAACCAGCAATGGTAGGGAAAGGGTATACAAGGTTTTATTTTAATTTTTCAAAATAGAGTTGGGAGGACTTTTGAAGCTGCTGGTGACATAAAGCCTGGGAAAAGGTTAGGGTCACATGAGCACTGTCTTCAAGAATGTGAAGTACTATCCCATGGAACATTTTCTTGTGTCGCTCCAAAGACAGGGCTTGACCCGCTTGACCCACTGGTAGACGATGAGGTGGCACATTTAGTCTCCACGTAAAGAACTTCCTGAAAGACACAGCTGTCCAACAATGGAAATGTTGCTCTCAGAACTCAGATGTTTCTCAGTGGAAGTGTTAATACAGAGCCTAGAGAACCACATCAGGGAAGCCATGTGCATGGGCCTCTGTAGCAGGACGGAGGCCAGAACCACCAACTTTCCAAATTTAAGGTTATACAGACACATGTGCACCCATAAGCATTACAACGTCTAACAAGTAATCTACAAGTACAGACAGCTTTCCAGTGATTACCTTAGAACAATTTGGAGAAAAGAGTTTTAATAGTTCAGGTGTACATTTGTGTTCACCTATTGTTTCCCACAGGCAGAATCACACATAAACTCAAAATTCAGGTTATGCTCTAAAGTAGCTCTAATATATCAATTGCCTTGCAACAAACTGACACTCTAGCAAAACTGCCTGTGTGACCCTACTTCCCACCAAGTCAAGTGGGGTTTGAGCTCACCACCCTCCCTCTCCAGCCAGAGCCCTGGTCTGCCTCCTACCCTATACCTGGCTTGCTCAAATCCTCTCCCCCTTTCCTTGCTCCCTTTCCAAGTTTCACTGTCAGCAAAGCTCAAACACTATTTCCTCAAGTTGATCCTTCTTTAAAAGCAAAGGATATGGGTTAACAGATCAAGACAAGGAAATGGAAATAGATGGGTTTGTTTTCAGTTGCCAAACCGATCACCTGGAAAGGGCTCATGGTCAAGGCAAAGTGGTTAGTTGTGTGTCAGCCCTACCAAGGAAGACCACACCCTGCTACTTCCACGAGCCAACCCTGAGTAGAAACACTCTTTTCAACTTTCTGATCAGGAAGGAACAATTAGTCCAATATACAAGATTTCCCACCACCACATGTCCAAACACAAACACTCTTTTGTACCAATCTTTATATATTTATTCACACATTTGATAAAAATGTCACAGTTAGAAGTGAAATCATTACAATGTCGTAAGTGACTGACCCCAACTACAGAGTCCAGTTGCCAAAAATCAGAACATGAGCAACACACAGCTCATTAACACCTGCGCACTCACACACTCTGCCCACACCCATCCATGCCCCAACAATCACAGGTGCTAAGTTCAGACGTAACCCAGGGAAACTTTCCCTGGCTTCTGTCAAGTCCTGGGGATGAGAAGAAAGAAATGATCAATGAAAAAGAAGCTGGGACCGGTCGACATTATCTTTCTGTTCTGCCAGCCACTCAGAGAAGTCAAGACATGAAAAGATGGGTGCAGTTATTTCCTTGGCACAAAACTTAACAGGCAACAAAAATGTCAAGGGCTTTAAGTCAGTCTGAGGTTTAGATCCCCCTTTCAACACAAAAGGGCAGCAAGTAGGGAAAAATCCAGCCATTAAATTCTAGGGAAAAAAGAGGAGGGAGTATTGAAAACTTGATCCCTATTCTCCTGTCAGATTGCAACATGACCAAAGCAAAATCAGCCAGGCCAAACTGATAACATCTGATTGTGACTTTATCCAAACAGTGTAGTTTGCTTTTATTTTAACTCTGAAGAGAGGAAGAAAAAATTTTCAGAGGAACAAGAGGGTCAGATAAACCACATCCCCATTATATTAGTATTTGGGGGAAGATTACATCTATTTGTTCACACGGCTTGTCTACAGCTCTGAGAGCTCCAAGGGAGTGGCCCAACCCCCATTCCTCTGCCTTTAGCCTTCCAAGATGGACAAGTCCTCAGCATCCAGTCAAACCTGAAGTGTGAAAAATAATGCCTGAATCAAAATGGTGTTTTCCATACAGTGGGACTATGGAGAAATCCTGTTCCATTTCCCAATTCCTACTTGACACAAAGGTTAAAAAAAAAGAAAACCTAAAGTGTGAATGTTTTGAGAATTGCCATTAACCCTATCAAAACACTGATGACACAGAAAACCACCATCTGAAAATACTAATTTCCCAGTGTTCTTGGTGAATGAGCTAAGGAAGGAGGCGATGATCCAAATTAATATAGTCCATGAATACAGAAGAACTGACCAATGCAAAAGAAACTGCTTTGGGTAGGGCGAGTCAATAGGGTAGTACTGAGAGGCAGAGAGAAATTTCTTGGTACAAACCTGATGTCCCTAAGATAGAAGCAGGGTGAGGTCAAGGCACTTACACTGCCAAACAACAGTTCACGTCCATTCAACACTAGAACTGTTACCAAGAGCACTCCCCATGACCCCTCACTGAAGACTCAACCAGCCAACTGCACTTTCCAGTTGGACCTTCAGAACTGAAGGAAATTCCAAGTGCTGCAGAACCAATGGTGGGAACTGGAATGTTGGCAGAGGAAACCACTCAGAGGAAGCAAAAAGAAGTTGTCCCCTTCTGGCCTGAGGTGAGGTTTGTTCCAGATTAGCTCAGTGAAATACTGAATTTCAAGATGCTTGGCCTGAGAATATGACAACGCCCCCATGGATGCCTCCTTCTTCTGTTTTGATAAAGAGCAATAAGGGCTCTGAATGAAACTGGACACCACTTACTGAGTTATCTTGCCCTGGTGGTTACAGCAGACGCCTTCGAATACATGTCCCTGTTCTGTAGCAGATAAGGGACTGAGACAGGGCTAGAAGCAGCCTGTCCCTTCTTATCCCAAAGCCCTTCAAGCGTACTCGATCCGGGCAGGGCCACAACTACCCTCATTCTTCCGCTCGGAAGATGGGGTGGTAGCCTTGGCTTCACTACCGGTTTCCAGAGGCTTAGACGAGATATAGTCCTTTACTTTGATCTCCATGTTCTTGGCTTTAAGAGTGGCCATGTGCAGCTTCTCCAGGAAATCTGGCATGCCTGGTGGGAGAGGGGGAAATATGGGTAGGCTGAAATACAAACCAAAAGTATGCTCAAAATTAGACGGCCTATTTCTTTCATGGTAGGGAGCCAATTCCTTCTTCTAGAGATCACAGCCTGATTGACAACCTGAGTGATAGCTGCCTCCCAAAATGCATGGGAAGTGAAAACAATCCATGACCTTTGAGATCCTCAGAAAAGGGGTGCCAATCAAGCCAATAAATCCCCAAAGGCTTTTAGGTGATTAAAATCACTTATCAGTAGCACAGCCTAAATATCTGCCAATTTTATTTAGACAAATATCAAACAGAAACACCTAATCTCTCCATTCTCCCTCTGAGGTATCAGAAGCTGCCTACAGAGAAGCAGAAGAAAGAAAATCACATGAGAATGCCTTTTAAAGCAAGGAATTGGAACAAAAAGGTGCAGTTACAGCTGTGATGTGTAGCCTTTGTCAAGACACATGGTGGCCCCCTTTCCCAGAATACTATCCTATAACAACCACATTTTCTACACTAGATTTTATGGCCTCCAACAGGATCTAAAAAGAAGAAATGATTAAGTGCATTAATGTACACAGTCCATATTTAAGGAATTAAGCAAATGTTCTCAAAACTCCCTTCTGGGCACATGTTGCTTTCTGGGATTCCACAATTTTCATCCCTCCAAAGCCCAGCTAGAGGCTTCAATATCTTTGTAATATTCAAGAATGGACTTGGAAGGATGTTTAATTTCCCCAGAAGTGCTCCCATTAGACAAGCACTAATCCTCTTGCTTGCCATTTAGAGCTAGAGAAAAACAAAATGCTCAACCCAGGCTCCAGGCCCTGTATACAAGTGCCCACTCACCACTGGAAACCATCCAGCTAACACAGTAGCGAGGAAACACAGTCTGGGGATTGTCACTGTATGTCAACAAGTAGTCAAAGCCATTCTGGAAAAGAAGAACAGCAAAAATAATGATACTTGAATTACCCACCATAGCTTCCATATCCAGTACCACAGAATAATCATGATGTGATTCTGGGGCAGACAGTGCCATTTTTTTACCCTGTGCAAAAAAAGAGTTAATACTGAAGACCGCATAGGTCGCTATCCACAGAAAGGCCAGCCTGCAAGGTTGACCCTCAGGTGGTATCAGGGAACTTGGCTCCCAGAGTATTCCCAGTCAACAGTGTACTGGTAAGAATGGCTCCCTGTCTCTTCTCTGTTCGTGCAAACATTACAGTTTATGCTGAATACCTGCTTTCTTTCTGGCACATCAGGGATTTTGGTATATGCTATGTAGAGGATCCCTATGTGACCAGCCCTCAATAAAAATCTAGGGTGCTGAGCCTCTAATGGGCTTCTCTGGGCAGAAACATCACAGACATGTTGCTTTTTTAAGATTTTATTTATTTGACAGAGAGACACACAGCGAGAGAGGGAACACAAGCAGGGGGAGAGGGAGAAGCAGGCTTCCCGCTGAGCAGGGAGCCCGATGCGGGGCTCGATCCTGAGCCGAAGGCAGACGCTTAACAAGTGAGCCACCCAGGCGCCCCTTTGTTGCTCTATTTTTGCTGCTGGAAGGAGAATGTGCTCTGTGTGACCTCTCACAGGAGATAGAGCAGGAGGAAGCCTACATGTGGATTCCTACAGGCTCTGCCTCTTCCCTTATGATGCAGCTGTGTATCCTTACTACATGACTAGAACACATCTTAGTCAAGAGTACAACTATATGCTGAGTCCTATGAGTCCTTCTAGCGAATTTTCAAATGTAGGGTGTTCTTGAAAATTCCAACACGTACCCTCAAATGTTTAACGCTCTTAACCTTTACCAAAACGGTATAAACTCTACTACTACTACTACGACTAATAACAGCAAATATTTATAGAGCACTTAACAGCGAACTGCTTCCAACTTGGGACAATCCTGTAACGTAGGTACTGTTACCTCATTTTACAAAGGAGGAAACTGAGCACAAAGAATAACTTTGCCCAAGGTCATCTACATACTCAATGACAGCCAAGATAAACCCAAGATTCTGACCACAGGGATTATGCACCCACTCTTTTTGGCTCAGCCCTCTCATTGCCTATTACAGTGAAGGACAAGGAATTAAGGAGATTTCCAGGTGTCTTGATCCTACGAGAGATCTGAACCAATTATGATCCACAGAAAGGGGTACGAGATAACCACTTTTATGTCTGCACTTTTTAAAGCAGACTGGCCACAACTCCACCTGGCAGAACTACAACTTTAAATTCCCATGCTTTTACTCCAAAGTCCATCTTCTTTTTCCCCTGAATGAATTGTTTAATCTTTTATTCATTCACTCAACATGTATTTAAATGTCTGCCTCATGTCTGGCACTGTATGCTAGATACTTAGAGCAAACAAAAATGTAATAGTCCCTGCCCTCAGGAGCTTTCAACCGATAGAACAGATGCCATAACAGAGACACAGAATCAATACTACGGAAGTAAAGAGAAAGGAGAGGGGCGCCTAGGTGGCTCAGTCGGTTAAGCATCTGCCTTCAGGTCAGGTGATGATCCCAGGGTCCTGGGATTGAGTCCTGCGTTGGGCTCCTTGCTCAGAGGGGAGCGTGCTTCTCCCTCTGCCTACCGTTCCTCCCTGCTTGTGCTGACAAATAAATAAAATCATAAGGAAAAAAAAAAAAGAAAGGAGAGGTAAAACCTGTACAGTGGAAACATTAACACTATCCACCACAAAGGCTGGCTGTAAATGAGTTAATACATATAGAAGATTTTATTCTTCCCATAAAACACTTGGATTGGGAAGTCAAGAGATCTGGGTTCTCATCCACCACTGCTTATATTTTATTTTTTTTTAAAGATTTTATTTATTTATTTGACAGAGAGAGAGACACAGCCAGCGAGGGAACACAAGCAGGGGGACTGGGAGAGGGAGAAGCAGGCTTCCCGCAGAGCAAGGAGCCTGATGCGGGGCTCGATCCCAGGACCCTGGGATCATGACCTGAGCCGAAGGCAGATGCTTAACGACTGAGCCACCCAGGCACCCCACTGTTTATATTTTAAAAAAGGAAACCAGGGGTGCTTGGATGGCTCAGTCGTTGAAGCGTCTGCCTTCGGCTCAGGTCATGATCCCAGGGTCCTGGGATCAAGCCCCACATCGGACTCCCTGCTCAGCGGGAAGCCTGCTTCTCCCTCTCCCACTCCCCCTGCTTGTGTTCCCTCTCTATCAAATAAATAAATAAAATCTTAGATAGATAGACAGGTAGGTAGGTAGGTAGGTAGGTAGGTAGATAAATAAAGGAAACCAAACAAAAACAATTATTACCCATTGGAAGAAGGAAGGAACAGGGATATAAGCAAAATCACTCTGAATAGTTATTATTTTACAGATTTGACTTTGGAAGCATAAGTTTCTTTCATAATTTAATAAAACAAAATTAAATTTAAAAAGCAGTATCTAAAAATCGAAAGTAAAATAGAAAACAAGGAACCTAACTATGAACTGAGTCAGCAGGAAAAAGCACAAAGACAGCACCTATTTCAAGTAACTTTAAAACTCAGTATTTTGGTGGGGGTTGGGTGGCTCAGTCCTTAAGCGTCTGCCTTCGGCTCAGGTCATGGTCCCAGGGTCCTGGGATCGAGCCCCACATCGGCCTCCCTGCTCAGCAGAGAGCCTGCTTCTCCCTCTCCCACTCCCCCTGCTTGTGTTCCCTCTCTTGCTGTGTCTTTCTCTGTCAAATAAATAAAAATCTTAAAAAAAAAAAAAAAAACCACACACAGTATTTTGTACACTGCGTACACATCCTAAGGATAAAAAAAAAAAATACAAATTTTAAATCACCATCACTGGTGATCTTGGTGGTATTATTCTGAGGCTGGTGTGTGTGTATTTTAGGTTAAAGCCAATGAGTAGTTATGCTCAGGTGATGAGTTGAATTTTCCAGCACAGGAAAAGATGATAGATGTAAGATATAAAATATAAATAAAAACTTTCCAGTCTGAAATATGAATTAAAAATATTAGCACATGCTTAGGATTTATCCTTAAAACAAATAAGCAACATTTATTACTTAGTTCTAGCTTCAGGCCTAAAGACAATGAGCAAGCCAATAGCTATGAGTACTCCTAGAAGCCAAATTCTGGTATTTATTTTAAAGATTTGATTTTTTATTTTATTTTTTAAAATTTACTTATCTGAGAGAAAGAAAGAGAGAGAGAGAATCTCAAGTAGACTCCCTGTTGAGCATGGAGCCTGACACCGGGCTAAATCTCACGACCCTGAGATCATGACCCGAGCCGAAATCAAGAGTCAGACACTTAGCCAAATGAGCCACCCAGGCACCCCTAAAGATTTTATTTTTAAGTGATCTCTACACCCAACATGGTGCTTGAACTTACAACCCCAAGATCAAGAGTCACATGCTCCACCAAATCCTGGTTTAATTTAAATGACATCTTCTTAAAAGGAACCAGGGCTCCCTAAAGAAATGCTAATTTCCAGGTTTACAGCTAAAACTATACTACAAGATGAACCTAGGACATCTTATAACACCAGAAAACAAGAGAGCCCCTGAGGTCCAGTCAAAAGGACAAGCCAGTTAAAAGGAGGCTCCTAATGGCCAATACTGGGGCAATTTGAGTGTCAGTAAGAGTAACTGTAATGGGGCGCCTGGGTGGCTCAGTTGGTTAAGCGACTGCCTTCAGTTCAGGTCATGATCCCAGGGTCCTGGGATCGAGCCCCACATTGGGCTCCCTGCTCCTCCCTCTCCCACTCCCCCTGCTTGTGCTCCCTCTCTTGCTGTCTCTCTGTCAATTAAATAAATAAATAAAATCTTAAAAAAAAATAACTGTAATGGATTAGAACTAACCAAACATGTTAAAAACTGATATACCTATAGAAGTCTTCTATTGGTTCTTCTATAGCAAAGACTAATGGTATTTCTTTAAAACAAAAACAAAACTTAACCTTTGGAGGATCCCTGGTTGAAAGAACCAATTCATTATTTTCAAACTCATAAATAAAGGAAACAAAGCAACCATTTCTCTTACTTCTCTTTCCTATGTAAACTAAAGGAAAACAAACAGTTGGTGAGAAAATTTTTCCTTAATGTATTTTAATAAGTGGAAATAAATGAATTACAGAATCAGCATTTTGTTATACCACTAATGAAATAATGGATCTGAGCAATAATAATTTCTAAATTCACAAAGAAAGAGACGATCAAACATCACCTGCCTTCTAATAAAGTGGTCTTGCCCAAAACAACCAACCAACCTGAATCTGTTTAAGCCTCAGGTTTCATCAATAACTACCAATACCCAGGAAATAGAGGCAGGGGACAGAGGAACATGTTAAATAACACTATAGATACAATGGGGAAACACAATCATCAAGATCCAGGACAAAGAACCCTGCTTCTTCAACAAATACAACTGCAAAAAAAAAGAGGGGAAACTTACTGACTTCAAAAGACTCAAGAGATAGTATGAACAAATTTTAGTGTCTGGGTCATATTTGGGTCCAGATTCTAATAAACCAACTCCAGAAAAATTTCATGGACAATCAGGAAAATTCAAACACTAACTAGATTATTTGATACTAGGGATTATTATTAGGACACTGAGGTTATGTTTTCAAAAATCTCTTCAAGATAAACACTTAAGTATCTATAGAAGAATTCTTCTATAGTGAAGCTTGAAACTGCTTCAAAATAATCAGGACAGCAGGAAAAGGAACATGAAAGGATACAGATAAAACAAGTACGGCCATGAGTTGATGACTGTTGGAGCTGGGGATGGATACAGAAGGTTCATTATACTATTCTACTTCCTTATCTTTCATATACATTTCAAATTTTCCCTAATAAAAAGTTAAACAAAACACCATACCTTGGCTCAAGGATCCCATCTGGCAGTCCAAATGCAGCCACCTGGTTTTCAAGTACTCTCTGTACATGGTCAATGTAATTTATCACTCCTCTGTAATCTCAACCGTCCTTTCTAAGTGGTGACTCTCTGAACATATTCATGGCTCATTCCTGTCTTGATCTTAGGTATATCATGTCCTCTACACATCCTGTTGTCCTCTATCCAGTCTGCCTTTTCATAAGAATCAACTCAAATCTTACCTTTTTCGTAAGAGCTTGCCACAAATATACTAAAAGAATTTTACAGATAACTCTTACTGTTCCCCCACCTCAGCTGAAAAATTATTTATTTTATCCCTACTTAGATGCAACACACTCTGCTAGGTGCTAAACGATGCTTTAGCTGCTTCATGGTCACAATTTCTAAAGGTAGCTATGCTGGAACTCAATTCAGTTTTTTCAATTGGAAATAAATGGACAACGTCCAAATTTCAAAAGCAATGTAAAGGAAAAAAGTGAGGCCTAAGTCTGCCTCCCACACTATCTCCAGCCTGACCTAGGCTCCCCTTCATAAAGGGGACTAGCCATGGACAGTAACCTTGCTTCTTTTCGATCTTCTAAAGTAAGGACTTTCAAACATTTTTAACTATGACACACTGTAAATAATACTTTTTACACTGCAACCAGTTCTCCCTCTCAGCCTCCTACACACACATTCATACGTATTTATCTAACTAAAGTCTCATGAAATATGCTTACACTCAGATGATTTCTATTCTATGTATTCTCTCTTTTTAAGCTGATCATAATGCACTAAAATAGTTTTGTCTTCCACTAATGGGGAGCAATTTGAGGTTTGAAAAACACTGCTCTAAAAATACTATACAAGTAAACACACAGATCTCCCTGTTAAGAGTCAAACACCACATTGACTGAAATGAACCACCACTTCTATCATATTTAAAGTCCCACTTCAGGCAGTATAAATAGAACAACTTGTTGAAAACAAAACCATACTAAAGTACACAATTCATACACCACGAAAACAAAAGTAATGGGGAGAAAACGAAGCCTTTAGTTATAAAGTGAAATACAACTAAAAACAGCAACCAGTGGAGTATGTAAACTCAACAGAAATTTGGCTAAAAAAATTAATAAAACACTCCCTAAGTTGAAAAAAAAATATTCTTCTCAAAGAAAGGTCAATTTTATTTTTATTTATTTTATTTTTTTTAAGGATTTTATTTATTTATTTGCCAGAGAGGGACACACGAGAGAGGGAACACAAGCAGGGGGAGTGACAGAGGGAGAAGCAGGCTTCCCGCCGAGCAGGGAGCCCGATGCGGGGCTCGATCCCAGGACCCTGGAATCATGACCTGAGCCGAAGGCAGACGCTTAACGACTGAGCCACCCAGGCGCCCCCAACAGAATTTTAAAGAAGGCTGAGAGGATTAGTCTAACCCTCTCATTTTACAGATAAGGATACAAAAGTCCAGAAAGGTTTTAAGTGTTCTGCCCACTGTGGTGAAATTTTGATGGAAAAGGTGCTCCCTTCAGTTCCTAAAGAATGCTGCTAACCACAAGCCAGTCTTCTCCTGTCTCTCCCACGAATGGGAGTCAGTGGGTCATTAGTCTCTGCCCTGGGGGATCTTCCAGGTATATCACCCAATAGCAGTGGTTCCCAAACCAGGAGCATCAGCCTCACCTGAGAACTTCTTAAAAATGAGAATTCTTGGGCCATACCCAAGCACTGTATGTTAACAAGCTCCAGTGGACTCTGATGCATGCCAAGTTTGAGAACCACTGCCCTTCTCAGGTCAGACAAAAGGCATTCCTTGAGAAAATCCCAAAGCCACTACACATCCTCTCTTGGATGATGTAAAACTCACCTCATCAAATGACTTGTGGGGACGGATAACCATCTGGGATTCATACGATCTGACCCTTACAAATTCTGGAGACTCTGGAACACTAGGGTGCTCCACAGCACTGGTAAGGAGAAAAGTTAAGGAAATTCTTAGTAATGTCTACAAATAAGAAAACAGCATGAGAGCTACAGTTAAGAGGAAAATCTAAAAAGCTGGCTCTAATTTTTAAAATAAAACAGAAGAGTCACTAAAATGAATTAATACAAACTAGGTTCTAAAAACAAAGTGAGTTTCCTTGGTGATTCCTGGCTCACTAGGCTTCGTGTTGAAGAAAAGAGCACTTCTTTTTTTAATTATCAACACTAAGGAACTAAAGAAATGGTTTAATGAAAAGCGTACATAGATCCCTTCAATCTTCCTAGACTGTGGTCACCAGTCACAGCCCACTCATGTTCTAGCTGGGATGGATGGGGTCCTAGCATCACTCATAACAGCACTGAGAACATGCAAACTCCCACCAGACATATATGAAGGACACAGTTAAAGGAACTCAGCAGGAGCCACAGGTAACCACACATACCGTGACACCAACACCATCACATTGTTTTCCTGATCCACGCTATACCGTCGAACATAAACATAATCCCGAGAGTACATCGGATACTAAAGAAAAGGATAGGCAGAATTAGTGTTATGCCCCACGTGGATGTGATAAAAGTAAAAACAGTAGTAAAAATACTCACAGGAAAATGGGTTACCCAGTGAAGAACCTCAGAACCACTAACCACATCCCTCTCAATCACTTCCAGCTTGATTACCAGGGCATCCCACTTTTTTCTATATTCTGTATCCAGCTGCAGAAAGAGAAAAGATATGAAGACCCAGGTAATCCAAAACAAAGTTGCAGAAGGCTTCTCCAGATGCTTGGACCTGACCCAAGGACCTTATTCTGAAACAGTAACCTGACCTAAAAGTGGCAAAGTGTGAAAGACAGGGCTGTGTTTACTAGAGATAAGTCTTTTAAAATCCTTTCTTATAGGCCAATAGCATTACCTTGAAAGTTAATATTAAAAAAAAAAAAAGGGCGCCTGCGTGGCTCAGTCATTAAGCGTCTGCCTTTGGCTCAGGTCATGATCCCAGAGTCCTGGGATCAAGCCCCCCGTCGGACTCCCTGCTCCACGGGAAGCCTGCTTCTCCCTCTCCCACTCCCCCTGCTTGTGTTCCCTCTCTCACTGTCTCTCTCTCTCTGTCAAATAAATAAATAAAATCTTAAAATAAGACAAAGCAAAGGAAAACATAAGAAAAAAAACACTGTGATAGACATGTCTCAGGAAAATGTAATAGGTAGTGATATAAACGTGTAAGGGCAAAACAATTTTTTAAAGTTTTAAACAGACAAAAATACCCAAAGTATGAGCAGACACCTCACACAAAGAAATGCAAGTAACATATTTTTTAATTTCTAGCATGACTAGTACGTAGGGAATTTCGAAATAAGACGTATCATATACATCCAAACCAACCAAATGAATTGGTAAAATTCAGTGCTTGGGGGAAAGTGTGCACTTGCGTATTACTAGAGGGTGTTACAATCAATTAGTTCCAGAAAGCCTGACAAAACAGTGAAATATCCAGGAAGGAAAATAATTTTTTTTATAGAACTCTGGGTGATCCCATCTCCCCTTTTCATACGTTTCCCAAGGAAGAAAGCAGTCTTCGAAGAGATACTCTTCATCTTTACTAAATAAATACCTTCACTATGGAAATGTTCCAGATTCCTAAATCCTGACTGGATTTGTACTGAAGAGGAAAATGCTACAAAGGACATCATTGGGTCAACAGATAAAAACCAGAATACAAGCAGAAGATTACATAAGAGCTGCATCCATGTTAAATTTATAGACTTTGATAATGACACCATGGTTAAGAGAATATGTCTAATTTTAGGAAATATACATTGAAGGATTCTGGAATAAAGGGCCACATATGTAACTTGCCCTCAAAATTATTTAGGAAAAAATAACTATAAAACCTTATAAAATATACTAAAAGCACTCAAATACATTCCTCTATTTAATCTTCCCAAGAGCCCTGTGAGAGGACAGAATTGGTCTCATCCCCACTGGACAAAGAATGGTAAGCCCAATGTTTACCCAGATGCTATCTGACATGAGATGAAGGGTACAGAGACAGATGGATGTACTGAAACCATGTCTTCTGAGTCAAAGAAATTATTCATGTGGACAGTAGTTGAGTGGATTTCTAGGCTTAGAAGCTCCAAATCTGAGAAGAAAAATTTACTCACCTGAACATTGAAGAACTGCCGAGGTGTCACATCTGTGTAGGTTCCAAAAACTAGAATGACAAGAAGAACAAGAGATGTCTGCCACACCCTCATCACTCACCTTATTCCTATCGCTTAACTGCATTTCAATTATAGAGTACTGACAGATCTTAAAGGCAGATTCAGAAACTAGACGTCATATGGGGCAGCAAAGTAAGACAAAGACAACCTACAGCAAAGTATAGTAATAAAGACACTGAGATGCTTGTCATCTGGGAGAAGAAAAACAAAAAACAGGAAACCATGGCAAATTTTCTGAGCAACAACCAGAACAGTTTAGAGAGTATGAAGAACACAAGTCCTGCAAATCTGGGCAATCACAGAAAACACCTGCAAGGCAGCCAAGCTGGGCTCACCTCTGTACTGGTAAAGGTGGGTGCCTGTAATAGGGCGCCGCCAGAGCTTAAAGTGTTTCTTATCCATCACCATTTCCCATGGCTGTTCTTTGCCCCCTGAATCTTCATTTCCTTCTCTCTGTGATTTTGGTTCTGGAGGGTGGCATTCAACTCCAGAGCGCTGAAACATATGTGACATTTCCTCCAACCGTTTCATTTCATCAACAGATCTGCAAAAGGAAAAAAAATAAAAGGAATGGTGCAGGTGGTTGTAGTCAATCCTTGTCCATACACTGACTTGTATAAGAATGGTGTGGGTTGGGGCGCCTGTGTGACTCAGTTGATTAAGTGTCTGCCTTCGGCTCAGGTCATGATCTCAGGGTTCTGGGATATAGCCTGCATCGGGCTCCCTGCTCAATAGGGAGTCTGCTTCTCCCTCTCCCTCTCCCACTCCCCCTGCTTGTGCATGTGAGCTCTCTCTCAAATAAAGAAATCTTAAAAAAAAAAAAACAAAAAAAAAACAGTGGTGTGGGTTTAAAACAGTATAAAGTGTAGTGAAAACTCGAGTTCCTGAGTTTGAATCCCAGTCCAACATTCATTAACTAAAACACTACTTAGTCTCTATTCTTAATCTGTAAAATGAGGATAATAACAAGACCTACCTCAAGGGTTGATTATAAAACTTAAACAATTACATATTTTCCCTCTTTTAAAAATGTAATTCACATTCCATAAGAATCATCCTTTTATAGTTTACAATTCAATGTTTTTTAGTATACTCACAAGGTTGTGTAACCATCACCACTAATTCCAGAACATTTTCATCATCCCCCCCAAAAACCTATACCCATCAGCAGTCACTCCCTAGTCCTGCCTCCCCATAACCTCTGACAACCAATAATCTATTTTCTGTCTCTATGAAGTTGCCTATTTTGGACAATTCATATAAAGAGAATCATACAATATATAGTCTCTAGTATCTGGCTTTTTTCACTCAGCATATTTTCAAGGTTGATTCATGGTATACTTTGTTCCCTCTTTTTCTGGCTGAATATTTCACTGAATGGATATATCACATTTTGTTTATCCATTCATCAGGTGATGGGCATTTAGGTTGTTTCTACTTTTTGGCTATTATGAATAATAATGCTACAAACATTTGTGTAGAAGTTTTTATGTAGACACAGGTTTTCAGTTCTCTTGAGTAGGTTCCCAAGAGTGGATCTGCTGGGTCATAGCAACTCTATGTTTAACCTTTTGAGGAAGTGCCAAATTATTCTCCAAAGCAGTTGCACCATTTTATAGTCGTAACAATATATTAGGGTTCCAACTGCTTCACATCCTTGCCCACACTTGTTATTAGACAATAACTATCTTCCGGATTCTAGCAATTCTAGTGGGTGTGAGAAGTATATTTCATTGTGGTCTTTGATTTGTATTTCCCCAGTGACTAATGATGCTGAGCATATTTTCAAGTGCTTATTGGCCACCTGTGTATCTTCTTTGGAGAAATACCTATTGAAATCTTTGCCTATTTTTAAATTGGGTTGTCTTTTTATTGTTGAATCGTAAAGAGTTTTTATATACTCTGAATAATAGTCCCTTACCAGATATGATTTAAAAATATTTTCTCGCATTCTGTGGGTTGTCTTTTCACTTTTTTGATAGCGACCCTTGATGAACAAGTCTTTAATTTTGATGAAGTCCAATTCATCTACTTTTTTGATTACTTATGTTTCTGTATTACAGCTAAGAAACCCATCACTTCCTAATCCAAAGTCATAAGGACTTACATCTGTTATTTTCTTCTAAGAATTTTTAGTATTAGAAAAGAGTTTTAGTATTAGTTTACACTCTGATCCATTTTGAGTTAATTTTTGTGTATGGTGTGAGGTAGAGGGTCTAAACTCATTATTTTGCATGTGCATCTCCAGTTGTCCCAGTGCCATCTGAAGACTATTGTTTCCCCATTGAATTGTCTTGGCACTTTTGTTGAAAATCAATTGGCCATAAGCTTAAGGGTTTATTTCTAAACTCTCAATTTTATTCCAACAATTTATAGATCTATCCTTATGCCAGTACCGTATCATCTGAACTACTATAGCTTGCTATTAAGTTTTCAAATCAGGGAGAGGAGTCCTCCAGCTTTGTCCTTTTTCAAGACTGATTTGACCATTCTGGGTCTTTTTCATTTCCATCTAAGTATCAGGATCAGCTTGTCAATTGGCACAAAATAGTGTGCTAAGATTCTGATAGGGATTGTGTTGAATTTACAGATCAGTATGACTAGTATTGCCATCTTTACAATATTGTCTTCCAATCATGAACACAGATCTTCCATTTATGTGTTTTAAAATTTCTTGCAATGATCTTTTGTAGTTTTTAGCAAAAACATGGAGTACAATGTTGAATAGAAGTGGTGAGAGCAGACATCTTTGTCTTATTTCCTGATCTCAGGGGAAAAGCTTTCAGTTTTTCATCACTAAACTGTTAGCTGTGTTTTTTGTAGGTGCCCTGTATCAAATTGAGGAAGTTTTGTTCTATTCCTAGTTGTTGAATGCTTTTTATTTTTTTATCATCAAAGGAGGTTGGACTGTCAAATGCTTTTCTGCATATACTGAGATGACTGTGTGGTTTTTGTCCTTTATTCTATTAAGGTATTGTATTAAACTGATTTTTATATGAACTAACCTTGCTTTCCTGAAATAAATCCCACTGTTCCTATTCCTTTTTATATATTACTGGATTCCATTTGTTAGTATTTTGTTTAGAACTGCCTAAAGCTTTAAAACATTCAAGATATTTATTATTATTAAACATTCCATATATTTTTTGTGTTGTTTTATACCTTTTAGGGATGTATACATATAAAGACAAAGGAATACAATACAACTAACTGGGATAGATAATCTGGGGGACAGAGAAGATTTCAACTGGGCAAAGGTAGAGAGGAGGCTTTATCTATATTTTATTTCTTAAATATAACTATTTGGGGGTGCTTCGGTGGCTCAGTCAGTTAAGCAACCAACTCTTGGTTTGACTGAGATCATTATCTCAGCATCCTGAGATGGAGCCTTGCATAGGGCTCTGCACTGAGCAGGGAGTCTGCTTGGGATTCTTTGTCCCAGCCTCTCCCTCCCCCTCTGCTGCATGTGCGCTCTCTCTCCTTTTAAAATCAATAAATAAACTCTTTAAAAAAATATATAACTGCATTTGTAACATTCACGTTAAAGTCTTTTTATATATCTGAAACATTAAGTTGTTTTTTTTTTTTTCTAAAGAGAGAGCACGAGGGGGTGGGCAGAGGGAGAGGGAGAGAGAATCTTAACCTTACCCACATGGAGCCTGGTGAAGATTCTCTCTCCCTCTGCCCACCCCCTCACACACACCAGTGCTCTCATTCCCTCTTTCAAATAAATAAAATCTTAAAAACAAACAAAAAAACCATGGCTTGTATTTTCCCCTTAACCTTTAAATAGCAGTTAGGAAACAAAGATTGCTGGCTATCACATACAACTCCTGTTATTCAAGATTGAAGAAGACACTACTAATATACTCTGTCTGAAATGCCCACTCCTCTTCAACCTTCAAAAATACGTAAGGTTCAAGGTTAACTTCCAGGCAGAGTTGACCATATACATTTACTTTTATTCCGTACAGACACATATCACATTATATTATAATTAATCCATCTTTGTATCTGCCTCCTTTACTAAACTATGAATTCCCTAATGTCCCAGAATCAGTCTCTTTCATATCTGTATTTCCAGCTCCTAGCAAGTAAGTACCTGGTAAACATCAGGCACTCAAATGTTTACTGAATAAATTGAGTAAATATGAAAGTAGGCCCCAATAATTCAAGTTCTTATTGAAAGATTACATTAATACATTACTTTAAAAGCCAAAAATTCAAAGTCATACTGGTAACCCAAGATTAAAAGTTTAGAGCAACCCAAAGTAATGGTGACTATAAAGATCTGTGTTCCAGTCCTGACTCTGCCAACTGGCTGTGTGATCTTTTTTTTTTTTTTTTTTTAATTTT